GCATAAAAATATGCACGTAACGGTGCAATAATTTGAAAGAGTGAAAAAGCTTGAATATTTACTGCCAGCCTTAAATCTCACTTAAATGAAATTTCGAAATGTTGCATAAAAATGTGCACGTAACGGTCATGCTTTTGCTATTAATAAGATATTAAAAAGAATCATAACAACCTGATGATAAAATTTATCAATACTATAATCTCAGGTGAATTTTTTCTAAAACCATGTTCATTTGTAGTTATGAGAATTTCAACACATGTAACAAACTGAGGATGCGCCAATGAAAGGATTTGATTTTCACAGTGAAAACTGCTCTTGTTTTCTGGTACGCGTCATTGGCTGATATTGAAAAAAGACGGCAAAGGTGTGGAAGTGAATAAAACTCAAAATGAATGAAGTTTGTAAAAGTTACCGTACAGTCACAGCTCTTAATAGGACTAGTGGAAGCATCAACGAGTGTAACGCCATTTGGGGTTGTTCTGCTTACTGTTGTTGCTATTGCTGTTGCTGTTTGAGGAAGGTTACCATTGAGTGATTTACCAGATTCGTCTATTTTGGTAGTTGTATCTACGATATTCTGCTTTCGCGGTAGTGTAGCAAATCCCTATAAGTGCCTTATTGTCGGACAAAATAATTTTTTTGTATCAGAATCGAATGTCTAAAATTTAAAAAAAATTTGGATTGAGCTTCGGAAATTTGATACCATTTGATTTTTAGTTCTTCATTTTCAAAAAAAATAAAGAACTAAAGAAATGAGGCGAATAAAAAAATTGCTCTTTGTTGAAATGTTCGGAACTTCACGGAAAATTCTTAATTTCGCTGCTTTATTCGACAATACGAGTTTTTTCTTTTTCCTGTTAAAATAGCTTTCAGAGATAAAAAAAAATGTACGAAAATTTCACTTCATCATCTTCATCGTCTGCACTGACGAAAGCTGTTGATGCCCGTAGTTGCTGAGGATTGCTGGCTTTCCGTTTATTTCGATGATTTCGAGTAACACTTAATCCTTTCTTTTCAAGTAAATCATCCAGTGACTTTCCATTTACTAATCGCTTACATTCCTAAAATTTCGTTAAGCAAACATAAGCATAGAAAATATATAGATAATATTCCCAAGCTAATCTTTTTAAGCTTAGTTAAGTCCCTTAAGCTGGAGATGATTTAAGCTGTTGAACAGGATATATGATTGACAATTTTGCTTACTAATTTCTGCTAAAATTCCTGTGCTTCATATTTTTTTATGCTTTCTTTTTGGGATACATAATTATCAAACAAATATCTCCATCAGAGGCCAACAAAATTCGAGTCATGAGGCATAAATTAAAGCATTAAGAAATTGAATATAGAAAATGGATACTCAAACAATAAAGATTTGGGATGAAAAGAACAAAATCAAGGAATGAAATGTACTTGTCAAACGGATATAGTGTTATTTCACTCTGATATTGTCAACAGCCTCATAATCAGAAACTTCAATCATAGGTTGACAAAAATACTAGCTGGAATTGCTGACTTAGTATACACTTCCAACCTAATATCTCATTTCTAATATCCGTTCCATGAACTATCATCCTTTTACTAAATAACATTTTGATTTCTTTACTTGGTTCATCATTTTTTGATTCTTACTTGATTTTTTTTCATTTATCCATTTTTTGCTTACTTGATTTTTTCCACTGTTTATAGACTTATTCTTACATCAATCTTTTAACGAAATGTTTTTATATCCACTAGCTGTGGCGATTCGCCATGTCTAATTTAAAAGTGATTTAAACATCGTTGCCATATAAAAGCGCAAACACCGAAATTTTCGTTATCGCAAAAAGGAGGTAATTTAGTATTTACATCATATTAAACGTACTGAATGTGTGCGGTTATTTAGAATGAATTTTTATAAACAGCTCTCTCAGATAATTTTCATTATTTTCGTCAAAGCGTATAAAAGCTACAATTAAGTAAACATGGGCCAATAAGAGACAAAATTTTACCTGTGAAGAAGTGGAATTTGGTGTTTTACTAGGCGATGTAAGGGAGGTGTTTTTAGCAACACTGATATTAATACTATTTGAAATTTGCTCATCCTCCTTCGATTCCATTTTTAGAGCTATATTTGTTGTATTCGCTTCTTCTTTTTGCAAATTTATACCTTCTGCATTGCTTGCCACTAGAATTATAAAATTATTCAGTCATACAGTAAGCTATAAATTCCGACCAAATTCAAATTCCAATAATAACCACTCAAATCTTATCTGAGGAAAAATGGTGCAACTTAAAATATGTCAAGTAATGTTTTAAGTCGCTAACGTGATGGTATGCTATCATGTCAAGTTGCACTTTAACTTTTCTCGAAATAAGGGAGACTAACTAATCACTTAAGAGAATGTCTAAAGCGGACTCTGTACTGTATTTCGAAAATATTTAAAAAAAACCTGCTAACAAATTGGTAGAATTGAAAGGCGCCACAGTAAAAGCATTATTTGCCAACCATGCTGTCAACCAACTATTTTGACCACTGGTATCAGTGCTCATTTGTGTCATCAAATTATCTGGCTGCAAAAATTATTCAGTGGTACTGTATATCTCTGGAACAGTTGAAACGGTGAGTATATTTTAACAAAGTCAATGTGCAGAGGTTCATTTTCACTTGGAAAAATTATTCGTTTAAGATCAATAATAACAAGTAAGTCTACATTTAAACATCAATATTTCGGCGACGCCGACAATTTGGCCAGCGTTAAAAAGAACTGGTTGACAACTGACACCTAGGACCTCTTTTAGGAGGTCCGTTTGGCGTACAAATCGCTTCATAACGAAATGCACTGCAATGTATGAAAACCAGCTTCGGTCCTTATGATGTTCGAAAATTGAAGTGAATTGATGAATATCCGTTGAATTTACAAAACGAATTCGTCGATATGAATAATATTTAACCTTGGCTGTAAATCGAAATAAACTATCGGTATTATTGTGCGTCGCCGGAAATATGGATCCGTCCAATAAACCATTACTATTACCAAATAAGGAACTTTTAACATGTGTTTGTTCGCCTGGCGGTGATTCATTTCCACAGGCTTCTGGAGGACTTACTGATGGGCTTCCTTCAAGCTCTCTTGGTGACATTTCTCCCACGACTGCAAAAAACTATAGGCAGCAATAATTTGGAGCTAGAAATGCTATTCTGTTTAAAAGACACTTGATTTATAAGTCCATACTGGACCTTCTGGTCAGGAAATAAACTTGAATAGTTAGTCTCGGCATATTTATCATTTCAGGTAAGTGATAACTATATGAGTACATAAAACTTTTTCTTAGTATAATATGTATTTATTTTTCTATTGCAATGCTGCTTACTAGAAGTAATTAAAAGGTGTTTCCAATGCTTTAAAAGAAATAGTAACCGAACCTCCAGCCATTCCAGGACCATCGCTGGAACTTCTGGCAAGGACAGAAACATCACCGGGAGTACCATTCCGCAGCATACTTTGCATATGTATATGTAAGCTTGTCTTATCAGGATACGCCCAATTACAGCAGCGACACATAAACATTCGCGAAATAGAATGTATCCGGAACATATGCGACCGGAGCGTTTCATTCCCAGAGCAGCCTGTCATCGTTTATTATATTAAAAGATAAACATTTTGTACATATTACTGCGAGATTTTGCATATATTACTACAAAGAGGATTCAAGAATGTATGTAGGATTTTTTCCCATTTAATTTTGGTCTTTACGATACCAAAAAACTTCACAATAGTGCTTTAGCTTGGATGTCAACAATACAAAAACTTCATTAAATGAATACAAATATATTTTTTGTTTCGTTTTAAGCATACGGAATTTAAAAAAATGCGTAAAAAGTGAACAAGGGAAATGAAGAAGTTGAATATAGGCAATTAACTGAGTGAAGTTGTACGAAATAATGAAATAGGACAGATGAGGATTCTTGGTTTTTGGTTATTTTTTTTGTAGTTGGTTAAGTGACCTATGATTCACTTCCTATAAAATTTATAAGGGATGTTAGAGCGATCGAATAGGGTCCCCATCTCCTTTGAAGATAAACATCCACTTATTGTCTCATTATTCCACTCTTCCATATAATTTAACGAACTGTCCGTATTTTTCGAAATAAAGAGTAATCAACAGTGAATTCAAGAAGAAGAAAAGAGAATGTAAATCTAATTAAGCAAAAAGTGTGTCATCTACGCTTTTGCACTTCAACGATCATCTACAATTAATTTTTACAACTTCTTGACCTCGTACCACATTGTACAGAGCAGAAGAACGCTGTGTAATCGAGCACACCGTAATCCTCTTCCTAACTCATCACTTTTTAAATCCTCTTAAGTTTGATTACTAACATTCTTATCACAATCAACATTCCGTTCTCAAGTTATTTGAAAAAAATATCAACAATTCCTAAAGAAAAATTAATTTTTTGCCATATTGAAAATGAATTTACATAATGACTCTTATATAGAAATTATATAATTTAGTTTCAAAGCAGGAGCTATGATTATTTGACAGGAGAATTATTCCGTGCCCTTTTACATATTCCTGTAAGAAGTAATGAAAAAGTTTTAAAAAGGTGAACATATTTGTTACACTTTGTCACATTTTCGTACACAGGGAAAATTTTTAAAGAAATTCGTTAAGGATATTAATCATAAACTGCTTGCTAAATAAATTCGATTAAAATTTTATGAGTAATTCGAATGCATTTAAGTAGGACATTCATTCATATAGTAAGTTATTTAAAAAAGAAACAAAAGTAGTAAAGAATAAATGAACAATTTGTTAAGTTTTAACTCTGATTGGAGCTAATGTTAGAAGCGTATCACGAATTTAAATAAAAATTTAGCCCAAAACTAAATATTAATATGAATGGAATTTACAAATGAATGAGTACGATACAAATTTTTTCCAAAATGCTTTTTAAAAAAGATAAAGATCTTTTATATGTAATCGCTGTAATCGTGATAGGCTCAAATTTTTACATTTGAGCGTAGTACATTTTGAGTCATTTTTACTTTTAGTTAGAATATAATATCTTATGTTACTATCTTCCAAATAATTTGTTATTTTCGTTTCTTATTTTTGCAAGAATTTGAAGCTGGAGCATTTTGAAGAAATACTGTCCAGTGGAATTGGAAGCGTATCGTGCGATGATTGACATTTCTGAGCGTTATGAGAAAGCTGCATTCGTTATTGCTCAAATTTAGGGCATAAAAGGCAGCATACAGGGCAACACACTGCGGGCAACTGATTTTCATCAAACATGCAAACCAGCAATCAGCCATTCGTCTCATACTTACACAGAGAAAAGTGATATAAAGTTTGAAAGATTGACACAAATCTTAAACAGTTGACTACCACTTCTCTTTAAACATGCTTCGTTTGCAATCAAATAAGCAGTCAAATTTTAAAGTGTTTTTATAACTTAAATTGATTCATGCCTCATTAATGAAATTTGAAATGTTCTAGTTAATAAGTAAAATTTAGCATCGTTTAGATTGAAATAAAAGTAGCTTTCATACGTGACTTTTTTTCATTAATTGTCTCAACGAAACACAATCAAAGTATTCCCGAACGTACAAATTAAAATTTCTTTCCCTATTTGGGAAAAACGAACAGGAGAATAGTAAACAACGTCTTGTATTTATTTCCACGCCAAATGAAAACGTTGTATGGTGATGTGTAGACCTTTGC